GGGACAGATTTCTTATTTTTCTTTTTGTTTTTAGTTTTACTATTAATATTTGGAAAAATGTAAATATACGATTTCACCATTTTCAATTTGTTAAAAGTTGGTCAAATTTTTATTTTCTTAGTTAATGCTTGATAGCACTTTACTTTCCATGGAAAATGGAATTCAAATTCCAACTTTCACTCTTTGTCTGTTTAAGAGCATATTTTTTTCAGGTAATTGATTTTTTTGCCATCTAGACATATTTTTTCGTTGCTACCAATTTTTTTTTCTTGGAAGTAGAAACAAATTCTATATCTAATTGAATATAAAACAAAGCTAGACAAACACCAAAAAATAGATGAGGATTTTTTTTTTTTTTGCAAGGAAAACAAATTTTATCTCTTTAATTGACAATTTTCATATAAAACAAAGTCAAACGAAATCAAAAAACTACTTTTATTTCAACATTTTTCACGTGAAAAATTATGTCAATCAAACACAATAATTGACAATTCACAGTAAAATAATTTTTAGGCAATTCAATTTCCTGAAATTCGTTTTCTTTCCACCCAAATTTCATATTTACAATCAAGCGGATCATAATAGTCAAATGGATGGAATTTATCAATTTCTCCTTATGTTGCAACAAAATAAAATGATTGAAATTGTGGCTGACACGAGGTAAAAATTGAGGTAAAGTCTAAGAAAAAAAATTTGGACCGCTGCTGCAATTATCATTTTAATTATGAAGAATTTATATAAATTTCTTAATTGGACCAAGGTTGATGAAAGCGACATTTCTTTTTTTATTACTATTATTAATTTCTTTGTTATTTTGATTTTTTTTTTTTACATATTAATTATCTAACAATTAGAAAATTTTATCTCTTTAATTGACAATTTTCATATAAAACAAAGTCAAACGAAATCAAAAAACACTTTTATCTCAACATTTTTCACGTGAAAAATTACATCAATCAAACACAATAATTGACAATTCCCAATAAAATAATATTTAGGCAATTCAATTTCCTGAAATTCTTTTTCTTTCCACCCAAATTTCATATTTACAATCAAACGGATCCTAATAGTCAAATGGATGGAATTTATCAATTTCTCCTTATGTTGCAACAAAATAAAATGATTGAAATTGTGGCTGACACGAAGTAAAAATTGAGGTAAAGTCTGAGGAAAAAATTTTGGACCGCTGCTGCAATTATCATTTTAATTATGAAGAATTTATATAAATTTCTTAATTGGACCAAGGTTCATGAAAGCGACATTTCTTTTTTTATTACTATTATTAATTTCTTTGTTATTTTGATTTTTTTTTTTTACATATTAATTATCTAACTCAATTATGTCCTTTGCAATATTAGGTTTTCTCTTTCTAATTTTTCAAAATAAATTTAAAATATTGCTTTGTCATTTTTTAGATAATTATTGAATGATAGACTGAAATTTATTTCAAACTCTCATTCACAAGATTCTTTAGAGGAACAACAAACTTTAATTTCCGAACTCCCAATTATCTGTAAAAGTAAAGGATTTTTGATGCAACATTGTAGGAAACAACAATTGGTCAATCTCATGTTTATTTCGATTTTCTCACTTCTCGTTGCATGGCGAGTAGTGTGAAGAAAATAAAGGAGAGTATTCTTCTAAAATTTTCTCACAAGAGGCCTCTCAGTTTTTTTAAAACCCAATTTGCCTCTCTTATAAGACGATGAGCAAGCATCTGAGGCTGTCACTTCGACCAAGCACTGGTCGACGTGGCACGTGACTTCCATGTGTGAAGTTAAAGGCTCCACCTCACGTGGGGGCAACAATTTCATCAAAAGAACTTAAAAGAAATGTCATTTTCACTTCAAAAAAAAAAAAAATTAAAAAAAATTACAGATTCCGCTTATTTTAAACATCCTCAAGTTTTAGGACAATCAATTAAAATCACCGAAAAAATAAACCAGGATCAAAGACAAAGGGTACAACAGAAAAGCCAAGAATGATGTCCAAATAGGGAAAACAGTGGTAAAGCTTGCTAGGCATCCCATAATAGCAGAAACAGCTAAAACAATCAGAACTTCGAGCGAATAATTCCACG